GTGCTTCATCACTTGAGCCGAGATGGGTGCGAACCAAACACTTCAAACTCAGCTTAGCTCGATGTTTTAGAGCTCTGTTGTTTGTCAAGAGGATAGAACACCCACCTGACCTAAACAAACAGTTGGAGAGAATCATGGACTTGTCTCTTCCTGAGTACCAATTCGGAGCTATTGATTCCGAAGTCAAAACTAAGGCCAATTTGTTCTTTTGAGATTTGAAGATGCTTTGAACAACATTGGTAGATATAAGACTTGCACTACAACCCATTCCAGAGAGATTGAAGGACTTAATGTCCTCTTTCATTTTGTAATGGTTGATTATTCTACAAGTCAAAGAAGGGACTGAAGCGAGCATGGACACGTTCACGACAAGGACATCAATGTCTAGTGGTGAAACTCTGGACTTGTGGAAGAGCTTGTCGAGTGTGTTGAAGAAGAACTCGTCCATTTCTGATAAGCCATCTGTGAGAGCAGGAGATTCTTCACGGCCGGCTATGATGTTTCTTGGGCCGTAAGTGTCTTCACCAATGCCTGAATTCACAATGGCGCGCAAGAGGAACTTGTACTCCTCGTGACCAAGGCTCTTGTTTCGCTTGATGATGGAGCCGGAGAGATTGGTGTTGAGTTTCCGATCATCAGAGGGCTTGAAGCACTCATAGTGCAGTATGTAGCAGCCTTGGTGTCTGTATTGATCAACTAACTTGAATAGGAAGAGGAGAAGATACAAGAGAGAAAGGACATATAATAACATCATAATGAGGAGCTCAATGCGCGTGTGAGGGAGAGAGAAATGGATGGATGGATGAATGGATGTTGATGCTGAGACTTGAACTTTTTTTATATAGGCATTTGAGAAGCAAATGTGAAGTACGTGAAATTAACTCCTCAAACCAACTGCAAAGGCTCTCCATTCAAATCCTCCATTAGTGCTAGCTTTGGTATAGATTTTGGACGTACTTAAGAAAGTAAGAAGAGTTCCACAAGAAATCAAACCAAAAGGAATATGGAAAAAAGTGCTTTTAACACAAGTTCAAGCAAACTTTGACTAACGAATGCAATTAATATATGGATATCTGTTAGCCTACCGTTCATATATCATTAAATGTTTATATTTATTTTTTAACCAAACTTTTTTTTTGACCATCAAGATTACATAAAGAGCAAGGGTGAATCCAGGAATTGTTAATGGGAGGCTAATATTAAACAAAGGGGAATTGGGGATCGAAAGTATAAAGAATTGAAATTTTTTAGAAGAAATGAGCTCTCTGATTTGTGCAAAATTAGGAATTTAGGAGTTTTCTGTGCTTTGACTTAGTGATTATTTAGGGCTTGTTTGGTTTGGGCCTATTTGGTTGGGCCTTTATTTTAAAATTGTGGCTTAGATATTAGGCCTGTTTGGATGGGTTAAAATTAGGGACTAATAGTACTATTAATTTTTTCTTTTTTAAAACATTGGGCTAAATATACCTATACTAAAAATTAAAAAAAAATTATTTTTGGTGGGGGGTCAAGCCCTCCCTTGAATCTGCCACTGGTGGAGAGAGAGGTTTTTTTTTTTTTTTTAAAAAAAGGTTTCAATTCTCACACTCTGTTTCATAAATATACTGTAAACACACACACACACACAACTAGTGCGAATTTCGCTTCCTAAGTAGAAAGCACCTATATCAAAATAACTATTCAAAAACATATTATTTAGGTTAATTTGTTGTTATGTGATAAAAAGTGCAGAAAATGACTACGTACGTTGCAGAAGTACTGATAGGTGGACTCAGTTGGATTGCGTATCGTGTGTTAAATGGTCATTGGTTGAAGGTTGTATATGACCAAAAAAGTCAGCAGAGTAAAAAATAAGGTAGTTGGATATTAATTAAATTTGAGAAAAAAACAGTATTACTCATAAATTTGCTAGTGGCTGCTACTACCAAACGTACATTAGGTGTACCACATATATATATATACACCAGGCCATTGATGTTGTGTACTGTGATTACATGAGAAGTAATGGACGACAAAAGTTGATGGGAAATGATTTCAAAGTCAACGAGTTGGATATAATTTTTAGACCTATTGTCTTAAGGATAATGCTTCAATTATGTCTCATCAAAGCAAATTATGTTCTCATAGTAACGTGTTCTAATAAAAAGTTGATATTTCTTTTAAACTTAAAAAAATACAAGACATGGGTTATACTTGGCCATTTTTTATAGTTAAACCAGACAGATCTATTTTTTTTTTTACTCAACTTTAAATATTATTTTTAATTAACTTATGAAAAATTTTACTTCTTGTTATTTTTAATTTGGTTAATGCATTCTTTACTTTTTTATCTCTTACATTAATGGTCAATCAAATATTTTCACTGCTCGAATATATCACTGCTCAAAGTTGATTTGTTTGGGAGTGATCAGCCTCAATATTAAACAATGGAATAAAGGGTAGGGATAGTAATTCGTGTTAACGGGTCGTATTTGTGTCAACACGATTATGACACGAACACGATTAAAGTCGACACAAATACGGTTAATCGTGTCAAAACCTATTAACACGAGCACGACACAATTATTATACGTGTAACACGACACGACATGCATAACCCATTTAATAAATGAGTCAAGACTTGATACGATACGAAATGACATGAAAATTTACTTTTAAGTCATTTTTGACACAAATACGATACATTTATTTTACACTTTTAGCTAAACAGGTCATTTTTTACACGAATACGACACAGTTATCTGACACATTTAATTAATCGGGATAATCGTGTCACAATCGTGTTAGCAGAAAACACGAACATGACACGTTTAGTTAACGGTCAATTCGTGTCAACACGATTACGACACGAACATGATTAGGCCAAATCCAAACCATCTCATCTCGTGTCGTGTTCATATCATGTTAGCATGTCGTGTCAAATATTGTCATCTATATCCATGACCAATGGTCTGATAGTGCATTTGCTGTTGCGAGAGTTGCAGAAGAGGTGAATTATCCGTTGTCAGAAACACTGGAAATACCTTGTGGAGCTAGATTGTAAACTATTGTTCATTACCGAAGAGAGACAGAATCGATGCGGTGAAGTGGTGACGTTTGTGAAGATTAATGAGGACCAAAAGGACATCAGGTTTAGCTATAATGTCTTACGTTAGCTACTATTGAATCAAGTAAAGGGTGCATGAATCGGTGATCAATGTCTGTATTTGTATGCAGTTCTTTAACAATACTCCGAGTACAGTACTCCGATTAGGGGCATTTAGTAATAATTAATTGTGTTTTTTCTTGAAAATTCTACCATTCAATTTAAAATATTTTTCTTTAAAAATATAAATATTTTTGTAGGTAAAATATTTTTTTTAATTTTTATTTTTCTGCGCTTAATAAAGGTCTAGATCGAAGTTAAAATCAAGTACATCAAACAGAGAGTGAAAAATAACTTGTCGAAAATTAATAGGTAAGTTGTTTTTGTTAAATTTTAAGATTTTTTTTTCCCTTCAGAAATATTTTACAACAATCTGACACTAAAAAATAAAAACATATTTTTAAAAAATATATTTTACATCTAAACAAACACAGCCTACATTTTTATTTCCGTATGAGAGCAACATAAGAATTTCAATGAATATCTATCGGCTAGGATACCTTCGTTCATTTTGGGCTCTCAGTCTTGGATACCCTCTCGGTATATTGTGCATTTTGGGCTCCCAGTCTTGTAATTGTTTGGAAAGATGGGCTCTTTGGTCCAAGCCTGCAAACTCCAAATGGGGTGTCGGGCCTGCGTGGCTTGTTGGGTCCATTAACATCGACCTTTTTTTTTTCTTTTTTCTTTTTTTTTTTTTCAATAAATAAACTTTTTGACAAAGTCAACTAATGTTGATTTTCAAGTTCGTTAAATTTGTATATGCCTTGTTTGGTTTCATTACATGGGAATGCCTCAATTATTCACCTGCATCTTTAAGATAGTGTAAACCATTTCAATTGTATCATGATTGCAAAGTATAAGCCATATATGGCATTTTGATCCATCAAAAATAATTATTTTGAGGCAAATTGATAATTTAACATGTTAAAGTTGTCTTTTTACAAATTAAATGACATGTAGCTAATTTAAAAATTGTATTAAAGTTGTCTTTTTACAAATTAAAGGGCATGTAGCTAATTTTAAAGTTATTTACTTGATATTTATATAATTTTAATGGTGTTGTAGTTGCCTCGATAACCCAATAAAATAGTGTTTCCCCTTAAATCTTAGAGTGCTAAACTTCGATTTTCTACATCTCCTAATCTAACATATAACACTTATTGTTTTGACCAAAAAATAAATCAAAAATCTTAAGTTAAGAAATTTATAATCTAAGACAAAACTTTAAAAGGTGTTAATGCATTTTATGCAATAAAAAATAATTTTTAAAGATGTTAGTGTAATTTACACAATAAAAAATAAAGCTCGATGGAGCTTTGAAAATATACTTGTCAATTATTTTGATAAGAAATTGATAAATTGGATTTAATTTCCATTTAAATTCATATGCTTTTTATTGAAAGCCTAAAACTTATTAAAATTTAAAAATGTTTCTTGGTTTTGAAATGTCAAATTGTATTCAAGGTTAGAATAATTTTATACGGTTAAGTATATAAAACACTTCTAAGATTTACTTTTTAAACAAATAACATCATTCTTTTGCATTGAATATATAACTCCTTTAAAAATTTAAAAATGTTACAAATTAGGACTTTTCGGTAGTCCACCGTAGAAAAGCACTGTTAACAAACTGTGTGAGTTACGATTATCAAAGATGAGACTAAATTTGGAACGAAAGGAGTAATATTTTGCAAGAAACTCTTTGAACAAACAACAAAAACCTCTTAAGTTTTAGAAAATCCTGCAAATACCCTTTCAATTATACCTATTTCAATCCGGGTTAACGAATGGGTTAAAATACCCGATTCGAACAACCTTTTCCGTTCCTTCGTTTACATCAAACGCATTCGAAGAGAGAGAAAAGCCTTCTTAATCATTCCTCGTATTGGGGAGAGAGAGAGAGAGAGAGAGTAACCTGGTCCGGAGAGAGAAAGTGAAGCTTAGGATTTCAGTTTCTATTGGTAAGTTTAATCGATTAAATTCTTCAATATGATATCTATATCCTTTTGTAAGCTTAAGATTTTTTTTTATTTCTTCTCTTAAATTAGTTCAGATAATTCATTTTTAACAGAGTCAACAACATTTGCATTGTAAAAAGGTTTTGCATATTTGGAACAATTAGGAACATTGAAAAGTCATTCATGGATCATATAATTGTGGAATACTAGTAGTATTATTAAATTAGATACTTCAATTGCTTTGCCCTCAGGAGTTGTGATTTTACATATTTAATTTCGTCAATACACATATACATAATCTTAAAAAGTTGATAAGATAAATAGTATCACTTGGGTGGAAAAGAAGGAAAAAAAATCGCCTCAACATTGCTTCTACATATTTAAAACATTATGATTAATGTTTAGAGATATTTGGTTGATATATTACATAAATATATTTTTATTTTTATTTTTTAGATTTTGGCAATATAATCCTTTCAGTAAATCATATATATATATATATATATATATATATATATATATGAAAACCATTTTGATTATGCAATCAGGTGAGTTAGTTGATTAGTTTCAAAGAATTTTTATACATTTTAAATGTTAATTGGGATTCACTTGTGATGCCACTTAGCCAATCAATTATATTTCAAGAGTTAAATTTACCTGTAATTTTAATTTCTATTGACGAATTCGGAGTGGATTCGACAAGTTTTTTAACTTAAGTTAAGAGATAAACATCGAGTAGTGATTACACTAGAAATGATTCATCCACTCCATGTATAGTGACCGTTGGATATGATTGCTATGTTTTTTTTAGTAATTACCTTTTTTACATCCAAGCATGTTGCAGATGAATTTCTTATTCACCAGTGAGCAAGAGATCATTAGATTCATTACCCATTATTACACAATCCATAAAAATGATACATTTGTGTGTGTGTGTGTGTGTATTTAACTTTTGTCCCACAATTTTGTATAAATTTTCATCCTTTTTGAAAAATTAATTAGAGATCAATCTTATTTTAACCATTTTCATTAGTTAATCCTATTGAGCAAACAACAGCGGCCCATCTGTGGAAAGAGTGTTCAGGTTGGTTGTCCCTCAATTTCTCTCTAGAACTCTATCTGATATATATAGAATAAAAAATATCTCTCTTCAGGTATAGATATATGTATCTGCACTTGTATCTTTATATGTGTGTGTGCAGAGATATATATCTATATATAAATATGTCGACATATCCACTCTCTTTGCAGATCAACCCATTTCCCCGGGATCCTTATTCCTTCACACATCATAATTCATCAAGATGCAGAATATATGGTGAGAGGCCATAAGATATTTGAAATGAATTTTTGATCCTTATGGTAGTCTTAGCATCTTATGGCCTCTTACCATATTGTTGTATTCAGTCTCTGGTTCTAGGGTTTTGATATAGGGTATAGTGAGAGAAATTAGACTTTGAAGAGAAGAACTTGAGAGAGGAAATTTTCGTTTTGTTTTTCTTTCTTCTTTGATACATGAAATTATTAGTAAAGTGAAATTATATGTATATAAATTCATATACATCTACATGAAGCCTAAAAGATCCCTATTCTCTTCAAATCTGTTGTTTATATATATATTTTTTTTCAGCTTATTTGATTTTTTTTTTATTATTATTTTTTTAAAATCACAACATAATGCTCTTTAATCTGTTGTAGGAACATGCTAGATGGAGTGGCTCGTGGTCATTGTCTCAATGATTGTACTATGGGTTGCGTCTCTATGCAAAATTCTCCAAGCGTCATGTTCACCGTCCAAGGCTATGTTCCTAAATAATGGCGAGTGATTTATATTGTTGTGTTTGGAGCACCGAATCGGTGGCTTGTAATGGGAACTAGAGGAAATTTAGTTGAAAGTTCGAACTAAATTTCGTCCAACTCCAATTCTAATTCCAATTCCAATTCCAAGATACCGATTTAGTGCTCCGAAACATAGCTTATATGTTTTTCGCACGTTTGGATTGTTTTATGTGATTTTGTTTTGCTCTGGTTTAATACCCATTTCCTATCAAATTCAGGTGATTCTGTTCATAAGAGAAATGTCTTGCTGGTTGTTTCCCATCCTGATGATGAGTCTATGTAAGACCGTGCTAATTTTTTTTCCCGTCTGGTAACTGCATTTTACTGGTTTTCTGAGTCTTATTATTCATTGCAAATAATACTAATTAGATTACAACTTATTTACACGCAATGAACTGAAGCAGCAGAGTTAAAGACTAGGTGCCATCAAGGCACTCAGACCTGACATTGCCCATGGCATGAGGCAACCACCTGAGTGAAACAAGGCCAGTAATCTAGGAATAATTCATAATTGACCAGAAATTAAGATTGGTTTATATCTAAATTAAACAATATACAGTTTAGTACAATCATTGTAATCATCACACTAAGAAATTCAATTATCAATACTTCTAGTGCAATCTGCTTGTGGTTGACATTTGTTAAAAATCATGTAAAGTAGCTCTGGATATTATCAAAATCATCATATATATATATATATATATATATATATATATATTTAAAGTTGCTTAAAATTCACACACCCTATAGAATGGTCAACTTAAATGGAGGTCTATTTCAGTTGGTTTGGCAAGAACATACTGGATGAAAATGGCCCTTGTTGAAGGTAAGGGGCCTTGTTTACTTCAAGCTATTAAAACATTTCAAAGAGAACCTTTAACATTATTAGAGCTGTTGTTCAACGCTTGGCACTCTTGACAATCCACTTGCCTGTACAATGCTTTACTAACTCTACCTTGCCTTGGGGCATCATAGCTGGCTTCCCTAAGTGCCCATGTACGAAAGGATTGCTTTGAGTATGCTAACTCTAACTAATATATTAATGTTATTAGAGGCAGCTTAAAATCTTCTCTTAAACCATTGTTGTAGGTTATCAAATATCTGTGGTGGGCACATGAAATGCAACTGCATTTTTTAAATAAAATATGTTTTTAAAAAGACTAATTTATTATTATTATTATTTGAATAAATATTATCATGAAATTCCTGCTTTTCAGGTTGGATTTGAAATTGGTAATGTTTTCATTACAGTCTTAAATATCATTTAGGCAGTGCTTATTATAAGACAACCAGTTGTTAGTTCAATAGCGTAGTCAATTTTAATTATGTAAAAGACCGATATGCCTGAAATGAGGGGGTCTGCATGATGATCTCTCTCATCTTTTTCTATCAAATCTCTCAAGACTTGTCTTTTTTGTCACGACCAACTCGCCAGCAAGTCAGCAACACCATATCACCACAGAGTCAATCTATTAGGAATAAGGCTGCATAGTTATGGTTCATTTACATTAATGTCTAGTTGAATTCAAGATGGGCCCTGACGAATACAAACAGAGTACAGTGTATAAACAAAACTTTGTGTAAGCTGGCGAGAACCATTTGAATCTGTTGAAGGATTTATATATCTAAGTTACACCATCTTTAACAGCTTAAGCTTTTAGAGTAGGTGGTTGTTAACATGGTATCAGAGCCAAAGGTCTCGAGTTCAAACCTCACCGTCACCCTAATTAAAAAATTCAAAAACAAGTGTTGGACCAGAAGAGGGCCACACGTGAGGGTGCGTATATATCTAACTTACACCCTCTCTAACAACTTAAGCTTTTAGAGTAGGTGGTTGTTAACAGAATCAAGTAGTGTAGTGATTCGCATGGTTCTCACAAACACCAAACATATATTTAATGGTTAGGACATGGTTATGTGTCCATTACTTATAAGAAGTCATGTTATTATGGTTGTATAATTATACACAACCTCCTTTTTGAATTTTTTTAATAAAGCATGTCCCAAATATTTTTATGAATAGTTATCAACATTTATAAAGATCATTTCTGCTCTTGATTACATTTATATTGCTGACTTGTCAACTGTTAGAGAGTGTGGTTGTTATTTCTTTTATTTATCAAGGGCACTATTGTCTTTATGTCTACTTAATCTATTATAGGTGAGAGGTGTGGGGAAACCCTAAATCTTTTGACTCACCTTTCACAGAACACTCTTCTCTCTCTTTCTCTCCTCTTCTTCCTCTTCTTCTCTACTTCTACAAACCGTAACTTCTTCAACTTTAACTAAATAACAACCATACTTTGTAACATCAACTATGTGAATATTATTTAGTAAAATATCCATGAAATTTGACAGCAGGGCTTGGTGTTTTTTAAAGAAGGAGCGCCATCTTTTGTTTTTAAATCTTTTAAATGATATGTTTATGTTCTTGCTATGTTAAATATTACATTTTTAAACCTTGTATTGCGTTATGCAGGTTCTTTACTCCAACAATTAATTATCTTATTTCAAGGGGGCATAATATTCACATATTGTGCATTTCAACTGGTAATACTCTGGTTTTCTTTTGAAAAGCTCAAGCATCTAGAAAAGATATAGGACACGGTTCCATAGGCAGTAGTGGAAGCTGGGTTGTACCGTTATCTTTTTTTGCTTGGACAATGGAGAAAGAAGTGGATTTTCTGATTGAGAGAGAGAAAATAGTGGGGGAGGGAGGCAGAGTGGAAAGGAGGAGAGAGGAAATAGATTAGGGAAGGGAGGGAGGGAGGGAGATAAAATCAATTTGGATGGATCCATTGGTCTTTTGAGGATTCTTCTGTCTTTTCATAATATATGCTTACAATTTGTTGTAGGCTTGGGGCATCAGCCGTTGTTTCTGGAGCAATACACTGACCCAGTAATAAGTGCATGCAATACCTTTTAACAAGAATTGAAGAAGGGGATTTGATTTATCAAATTAGTTTTCTTAGGCAACACAACTGAGTGACAAATTATTATTATATTAGTTTTTAACTTTTATCCCCTCCCTCTCTCTCTCTGCCTTATTCTTTTATGTAATCATGTGTTCAATGCGTCTCCTACAAGTGATGGAAGGTTTTCAACTCCTTGTTTCACCCATTCTTGTTCTCATAGTTAAGAGATCACTTATAGAATAGGAGCTGGGGATTTCAATTTCATTGAGAACATTAATGACTGTGTGCACCTCAGAATAAATTATATAGGGATGTAATTTGCTCCTTCAATGGATATTGATTTGCTTTAGTATTAAACCCACCATAATTTAGCCAATCTTTTTCTTAGTGGAGGAGAAAGAGTTTCCCATCAAAACTTTTCAAGCATTATTTCTGTATTAACTTTACAAAAAGCAAGTGTGAGATAATTTTAAATTTACTTTGCAGAGTATCTTTCCTAGAAACTTAAGGTTAAACACATAAAACTGTCACATGTTTACTTCTTCAAAATATTAATTCACGGATGCTCCTACATTTTATTTAGTATTTTGTGTTGTTTAGGTAATGCAGATGGCATGGGAAATATTAGAAAAGAAGAGCTTTATCAGGCTTCTGCAATTCTTAAGGTGATGTGCGATCTGACACGAAAATTAAGCATTTAGAATTTTCTTGGTGTAGTGCTGGTGGCTCATTTCTGGTGTAGTGCTGGTGGCTCAAAATCCAATATATATATATATATATATATAAGTATCAGGCTAGTTTTGTTCTGTATTCTTACTACTTTTTTAATATTTCCTCTCCTCCAGTTCTACAAAGTACAATAAAATTGGCGCTAATCATCCTTTAAACTTGGTTTGTTGTAAACTGGAAACCCTAGAAAGGATTTTATCTCAGCTCCTTGGTTTTTAATTTTATGACATTTAAATCTACATGCAGGTTCCACTCCAACAAGTGAAGATACTGGATCATCCAGATTTGCAGGTTCCTTTGTTAAAAGTCTCTAGAAAATCCGGCACATCTTAGTTTTCTTTGAAATACAATATTGAGACAGAAGTTTGGATGTAATTTGAATGTCTTTCCTAGGATGGTTTTGGCAAAGTGTGGGACTGTAATTTACTTGCAAAGATTATTGAGAAGGAAATTTCTACTCATGTCATTGATGTGGTAAGATCTGGTTCCATCAATAATCTAAGATTTGTTTTCCATAGTTTGTTGGTTTAGGTGGCTTTTTAGGATGTCTTGTATACTTGTGTACTTGCATGTGATTAAAAAATGGAAATTTTCGTAGTTCATGTTGTAGCAACCAGCTTCAGTTTCGGTGCTTTACAACATCTCACAAAACCTTTGCTATCTTTTTCTTGAAATTATTTCCCCTTTCCTAAATCCTTTTATATATGGTGCTTACAGATAATTACTTTTGACAACTATGGTGTCTCGGGTCATTGTAATCATCAGGATGTAAATCGTGGAGTAAGGTAAGTTTATTTCAGTATTTTTGGTTCATTGGATCAATTTCTTTTGTTCAAAAAAGTTATAGGATTCTCTTCCAACAAGATGGAAACTAAAACCAAAATATATGTTTTTTCGACTTTTTAGCATAAGTGAAGTGCCCCTGTGGGTGGTCATGACTCATCAGTAGTTCAGATGTCTGTAGATCAATTTCTCTCTATAAATGAAATTGCGGTTCATGTAATTGATGAATGGGGTATTCCTTTCTTTTATAGCTAGGTTGGTTGATTTTTCTTTCAGCCATTGCTGATCTTGTTTGAGAGGGTATTGCATCTTCTTTTTAACATCTCTCTCATTCTTCTATTCGAAAAAAATCGTTTAACTAACTCCACAAATGCAAGAAGGGGGGGAGGGGTGCAGGGGCAAGGGCAAATTACCTCTATCAAGCATGACATGACTGACACTGGTGTGTGTGAAATGAGTGCTGAACTTCCATTAATGGTTTTTATCTATATTGTTGCTGAAGGCTAACTACGAGTATTATGTTTTATCTTTCAAGTATGTGTACTGTTTCCAATAGGGGTTTCTAGATCTATTACCATCTACTATTTTACTTCTACCAATACGAGTTTCTAGATCCATTTCTAGTGAGCGTACCATTTCTAGATCTATTGCTATCGCCAGGTTAGTAGGCATTTAAAATGCTATGCCATGTTATGAATTTGATCTTTTTTTCCTCCTTTGTAGCAAGCTACTACATGATACATTGCAAAGGAATATTGAAGCCTGGGAACTTGTGGGTTTTCTTTTCCTCCTCTCTTATACTTGTCTTGTGCTGGAGTTTAATTACTCTTCTGTTGCATGTCACTGAAAAAAATAATAATCTGAAGTTACTGATCGAATTGATCTTTCTCGTTCATATTTTTCTTATGGTTATTTGTCTTCAGAATCAAGAGTATTTTTTCCTTGTTTACCTACCCTAAATTTCTATATGACATGTCTTCCTTGTTAATATCTTCGACAGATACGGTGATAAGTTAATTATAATATTCATGTATCGTGATAGTCAGTTTCCAAACAACAAATGAAGAATCTTCTGAAAATTTTATTTTCTGGGCTTAAAATACTTCCTTCTTCATCATAGTTTGACATTTTTTTTGCTTCCTACTACTCAATTTTTGATTTTTTGTATCCATTATTCTCAGGTCAGTACTAATATATTACGGAAGTATAGTGGACCTGTTGACATCTGGTTTTCCTTCGTGTATGCCATGTATTATTCAAGTGGACAGATGCATTGCTTGCTAAACAAACATCCCCAAAAAAGTTATGCTGCAATGGCACAACACATGAGCCAATGGGTTTGGTATGCATTTCTCATTACTCAAAAAACGAATGGAAATGTCTTTTCCTTTTCTTTTTCTTTTTGCTGTGAGATATGAACAAGATTCCTTTGAGCCAATATATAAACTTTTTATTTTTTTTGATACCTGCTGTATTATGTGTGTATATGTGCGTGTGTTTTTTCCTTCTCTTTTGAGTCAATCATGCTAGGCCCATGCTGTAGTTCTAGAGGCCACCTCTTAAATGAGACACACCCGGAGCTTATACATGGTACCGGTTATTTTGCTTTTATTTTAACTGATGTTGATTTCTATTGTGCAGGTTTCGTAAGCTTTTTGTATCATTTTCCAGTTACACTTATGTGAACACGCTAAGGAAGATCAACTAGGAGGCGTATGTTGAGTTTTGGACAAAGCTGAAGCAATTGCAACTTTATGCTGTCTGCCCTGGCCGGTGTTTCTGGTTAAAATCTGTTTTCCTCTAGGGATACCATGCCACTTCAATTTGCTTGGGCCTTCATCTACTTGCATATATCCGGGAAATTTAAATCAACCTACGTGAACTGACACCGGGATTGATCAGCTTACTGGTATAAAGATCAGATCAGATAAACTTGCAAGCACCACCAGCGCCCTTGGTTACTTGGGTGCTGCTACCACACTCGGTCTCCGGTAGCTTTTGCAGATGGTAGTAGAATGTCTATGGCAGCAAGTAAATGATTTTGAGTTTTGTGACAAAATTTTGTCTGCGTTAGAGAATTAATGTAGACAGTTTCAAACGTTAGATAGTTGCTTCCTTGACATTTTTATTGGATCAAAGCATTAATGATTTTTAGTCGCAATCAATATATAATTGCATGAACTTCCCCAGGGGGCTTAGTCTGATGGTTGTCTCCTCTCTGGCCTTGAGAATCATTTGGATCTTCTGGATTTGTAGACTTGTACTCTTTTTCTTTAAGCTCGAACACAATATGTTTTTCTAGAAACTTGAGATTTCCTATATGTTTGCTTTATTAAAAAATTTATATAGCTTTTACCAAAAAAAAAAATCACTGTGAGAAAAATGGCTTTCGTTTCCCTTCAAGCTAGCAATGATTTTATGAATTTTTTTTTTTAAATTATTTTTTACCTCGACAAAAATCACACTTTTTTATTTTCCCACACCATACTCGAATTCTGATAATAAGATAAGAAGGTTATACCACTTGAGTAAGAAATCATTGTTAACAATAACATTGACTTATTATCATTGTTCTTTTATAAAAATAATAATTATATGTGCACAACCCCAGTATCCATATGGGGACTTGAATCCTCGATCTTTGGTTGCTTTTTTTATACATATAAAAATGAAGTTTTTCAAAGAATGGGTGGGAAAAATTTTTGGGAAGATTTTGCTGTGGAGAAAATAATAAAAATAAATTGAGAAATATTATTTTTTATATTTTTTGCATATTTTTTCATTCTTTTATATCAAAAAAACTATTTAAGCTTTTGTTGAAACGTACCAAACACACCCTTCCATGGGTTGATAAATAAACGGACGTTAACGTCTTGTGTACGGCGTCAGGCTCAGCGAGGGAAACAAAATCATTTCAAACGAAACCAAGTGCACTCTTCCCACACACAGATACACACAGATTTGCCCTAAACATCTCTATTAGGGCAAATAGATTCAGATAACATAATGTCGATTCACATATAAGTCCATACATGACCTTCTAGGGTTTCTTATCCTCGTTTCTCGGAGTTTCTATATTGTATAGGTATGAATCGGTTTTTGAAAATTGTTGATCTCTTGAATTGCTTTTGTAAATCGTTTTCTATGTCTAATTTGAAATCCAGTTCCCAAATTGAGACTGAAAGTGGTTCCATCTGTCAAGAACAATAAAGTATTCTCAATCTTCTTCTCTCTGTAGTTTGTTTTATGGAGTCGTTTATATTATTTTGAATAAATCCACCATTGTTCTATAACCGAATGCTTACAGAGAGTGTCGATTGTATAAGGAGTTCGTTGTTTTGAGTCTCTCTCACACACACACCCCTAGCATGGCGAAGGTTGCTGTTCCGGGTCCATCATCTACCAATCCTCTTCATTTTGGTGGGGGTGCTTTAAATGTCACCACTGCAGCTAGAAGAAAAACACCTTCGGAGTTGAGGGTAAGTTTCCTAACTCATGACTTTATTCTGTTTTATCTTATGGTGGTCCTTCCAGTCTGATATATTGCTTATCGTGAATTATAAGTGCTAAAAATGGAATGGAATGAATCTATCTGAACTTGATAGCTAATTTGCTTTCATCTTCTTAAATTATTAATTATTTCTTGGTAATAAATCATGGTCCCTTGTTTATCATCTGAAAATGGGCTGTCATTGAATTTTTCGTTAAGGTAATGTACATGCATGACTTGTTGTTAATGGATTGGAGTGGTAAATGAATCAGAAGACTGCACATCCTTATTGCCCTGCTGCCCTCACAAGATTTTAGTTTCTCATTTAATCCCAATTTTCCGACACACCATTTTATTTACTTATTTTTTTTTACATCTTCTTTGTTACATTTTACTTGCATACTGAAATATACACGCTTCCATCATATTAAGATCAAATCTTTAGAATTTTTTGAAAAATGTAACCTGGCATATCAAGCAAAATGCCTGTCTGATGGCATCCACACGTTCATGTGTGACATCCTGTCACTGAATGTTGTGCATACTGCATTTTCTCGCTTCTAATGTATTGTGAAACTGTTTTATATAGTTTAACTGAATTTAACTTCAAAATTTGAGGTTAAGAAGAAAAAAGAAATGCATCTCTATTCAATTTAGCTTATAAAAAGCTTCCAATTATTTGGATACACACCATAATGGGGAAAAGGCTCTTATATAATTGTGTGCCTATGACAGGGAGAGCAATTAAAGCGAAGGAAAGTTGTGGAGCTTGTAGATGAATCTCGAGCTTCTTTGACTGGTCCTTTGAAGTAAGCTTTGCTGCCTTTTTTTTTTTTTAATTCTCTTGGTTACTTCAGAATATAATTCATTAACAAATTTCCTATATATATTTTAGAAATAATAGTGAGGCAATTAGTGGGATGAAGAAACCAGATTTATCGAGGATTCCAAGATACATAGACACCCATGTCGATGAAGTATTCCCTGTGAGAAAAAACAGCATTAGGCTCAGGATACTTTCTAGAAAAGAAGACGATAAGGTCATTACTTTAGTTTTAAATGTAATTCATACTCTAGTTTATCTAGTGTATCTTGTTAACATATCTGTTTTAGTTAGCTTGAATTTTTGAATGTGACCTGAAAATGCTATCATTTGTCAGTTACTCTCATTGTATCTAATAAATACTTTATCAGCAGCAGAAAAACGTTCTTGTTGAGCAGAACATTGGCATGAAGAATATCTCCTCTCCTTTAGATTTGGCTGCAAAAATTCAACAACAAATTTCCTGGTATGTCTTTGCAGGACTTTCTTGTGTATAATTAATAGGCTACCTTTTCATTGTTGATTTTTTTTGCGCATTTTTCTTGCAGTCCAGAGGATTCTTTTGCTTCAACGGTGGTTGCAAAAGATGGTACAGCTCAAGCTTTTAAATCAACTGACAAGTGTACTGAAAAAAAGTTTTGTGGTCCTAAAGAGCTATCATTGGGGTGTGAAAAGTTACCTGGCCTGGGCACTGTTGATTTGGTACTTTTTTTCCCCTGTTGGCATCTTCATATTATGATTACACTAAATATATATCTTCTAAAAGAGAAACTACTTTTTGTTTTTTCTTTTTAATCATTATTATTTATAGGATAATGCTTTTAAAGGACTACTTGCGCATGAACCTCCTAAGGTTACCACACTACATGCTGATTCTTCTGAAAGAAGTGGTGATTTAACATCAGTAAATTTTTGCTCTGAATTCCATATTACCGGGAGAAGGACTCCATTGGATTTTACATTGAAAACTACCATGCGGGTGGTGTCCTCTTCCTCAATGAATTGGTGAGGTTACTGGTATATATCTTATTGTTTCCTTATTCTTTAAATATGCTGCCATGATTAGAGAAATTTTGCCATCTATTGATTCTTAACAATGCATATCTCAATTTCAACTCATGTGCTTGTGCTAGATTTTCTTTTATTTTTTTCCCAAACAGGGAAAGTTAGATTAACCAAAAGAAGAAGAGATACAATCAAGATGCACAGCATATGAGCCATTTCGGCCATAAATTCCAATCTAAATTGGAAACTCTCTCTTTACTTATCAAAAAAAAAAAAATGGAAACTCTCTCTTTCAAAACGTGTTTACTTAGCCGATGGGCCACAGTATTGCATGATCTTGGTACCGTGCCAGATTTTATTGATGCACCTTAAATGTGTAGCTTAAACCGATAGCTTAAGAACTTCTGAGAAAGTTACTATGTTTAAAAGGATGTGGTGATTTGAATGGCTGCTTTCTTACATACTGATATTCCTGCAGTGACTTAGATTCTCATTTATAGGTTCTAGACTCTATTAGCCTATTAACGGCCCATTTTTAGTTACTCTGCAGTCTTTTTAAAAAATTCAAACATGCTAAAACTTTGTTATTGGAAATCCTCATGATGTTGATACAAAGAACAACCAAAGTAGTTATATAAACAATCACTTCAGAACTTAGTTGAATATACTCTATGCACGAGAAGTGTAGGGTCATATTAGTTTAATAACAACTAAGCAGGACAGTGTGTTTTGAAATTTGAAAAGAAAAGGTATTCACCTGGTGTCTATTTGCCATAACTGTTAGAAGTTTTCTGATGATCTAGATTATCTTTTTGTCACATGCCCCTTTGCAAAGTCTATTTGAGACTGGTTTGCTGAGCTTTTATCATGGTCCATCCCTCATTGTCTTAGCCTTCTACAGCTTGCAAACTGGTTTGTTTCACAGCTTTTTGACCAGAAGCTCATTTTCTCTTCAGTCCTTTGGCACATCTGGACTGAGAGAAATTTGAGGTTACATCAGTGCAAATCAATGACTGCAGCTGACTTAGCTAGGCTTATTTGGTGGGAAATCATTGACCTCACTGATTCTCACCTTGTTGACTTTGTTAGAGTTCTTTGTTTTTCTTGCTGTTTTGCTGAGTTGTTTGTCTAGCCTTGTGGCTTTGTTTTCTCCAAGGGTATACCCTTGTTTGTAACATTGTACACTATTGATTTATCAATAAAATAAGCTTATTGAGGGAAGAAAAAGAAAAAGAAAAGGAAAAAAACTAAAACAGGACAGCCTTGGTTCCTTTGTTTCTAGGGCTAAAATCAGTTCAAAAGTTGTCGGTTTAGACTCAACCCGAGAGAAGTAGAATGTTTCTATACAAGTAATAGGCTTGGAGTCCAGCCAAGAAAAACACTCTTAACCCATCTTAAAGTAGGATACGAGGACTCTTAGAATTTAGAAACATTAACCAAAAGCAGCAACTTTATAATATGAAGGGTAATGAAACAATCGAGTACCAATTTCTCACATATATCAAATATCCTAAAGTATACATTTACTAATACATCATGACACTAATTTTGCCTTTGATTGCTTGTGAATTGATTTCCCCTTTTTGCTGTTAAAAAATGCCTTTATCCAGTGCTGTTGTGGGAGGAGAAGATTGGAGCATACATAACCTTTAGCATTATTTTGTACAAAGTGATTGCTCTCAAACTTGAAACTGTTTCCTTATACCCGTCATTGAACAAAGTATGGCAGCCTTTTTTTAAGCAACGACCCCTAACATTTCTTTTTTTTTTTTTTTTTGCTGTTAATTTTTTAGTAGTTCTCTTGACTATTATTGCCAAAATGCCAGCCCCATATTTATTTATTTCTAGTTAGAGTGCTAATTGTTAGTTGGTTTCTTGACTCTC